TTTGCAACCTCGTTATCTGCTGACCACCAAACGGCTTTCACTCGAGGAATACCTAAAATACGTTATCTAGCGCACTAAAAATCTATAAAATTTAAACAAAAGAAACTCAAGGCTCAAACTGACGAATGAAGACCTCATTTGTGTGTCGGAGAATACTGAAATAGCAAAAATGTGACATGTACATATGCATGTATGTTTATATCTTTGAAGGCAATTCTTAGTGCGGTCAACACCCGCACCATTTACTCTTCGTATTGTATCTAAATTCACTACTGTTGTTGCAATGGTACAAGATTTAAGTTTTTTTGATTTTTATACGCCACACGGTTCCAAATTCAAGTCTTCCCATATCACCGTTCTTATACATACATATATTCATACGGATACAAGTATATATGGACGTATTGAAGGCAGCTTCATCATCTGCAGCCGCTTTGAAACAGAATTCACTTACTCGTACAGTAGTTGTTGTTGGCATTGATGCTGGTTTTAACGAGGACTAATTCATTGCGCAGTCAAGTTTTTTTGGTACCTTTGTTTGCGTTTGTGTGTGAAACACATTTTGATTGGTTGAAGTTTCCCGCAAACATTATCTAAAGGAGTGAAAAAGACAAATAAAGAGAGAGAGAGAGATAAATAGAGTTGCCCAACAAATAAATTGCTGCATGTACAGTACGAAGAGAAATGCATCACATGCACGTAACGAGTACAGTGTCCTTAAAACTGTGCCGTAGATAAAATCGTGAAAATGGTACAGATATTATATTTGTAAGGTCAATCCACATATAATCTATGTACTTTTGGACATTAGACACTCTTGCACATAACTTATAAAATCTACACGCCATAGGAAAACATATGTGTGTATATCGATTTTTATAAAACTTGCATGTGCATATACACATACATACAAATATATACATTTATGCGGTTTGTAATGGATACACTGGAAAAAATTACGAATATGATATAATTAATTACGGTTCCTATTACTTAAAAAAGCTGCTATCGATTACTAATATCCTGGAAAGAATTTAGAAGCAAAGTTAAAATGGTTACAGGGCATGGGGAATAGAAAAGCTTAATTTTGGTAACAGCGGTATTTTTGTTGATAAAAAATATTATTTGCACAACAAATTTATTTTTATTCATTTATTTCAAAATATCAAAAATCAAGTTCCGCCAACTCCTAGACACAGTAGAAAATTTTCATGTTTGTCAGACAACAAATGAGGGACTTACCTACATATGTATCTACATATGTTTTTATCTTTATATATATTTTGTATATATTCATTAAATTCTACTGGGCGTGGCACTAAATATGCAATAACTTTTAAAAATGCAAAACTCTGTGATAAAACTTTTTCTAATGTAACTTTTTAAATCCTTATTAACTATTTTTGAAGTCGTTTTTTGAAATTTTTTTTGAGTGGAAATACTATGAAATAACAAATTACAATTTCACATTATTTAAAAATGTGACATTTGTACATACATATAAACATTTGTACGTATACATTTGCAGGCACATGTTTACAATTTTGTCATCTAAAATACAAAATAAAGTAACATAATTTTTCATAAATCTAAAGACATTGGACTCATACATACTTATAATATTATTTAGTGAATCGCAAACAATGAAAAAACTGAATTTCGATTTTTTTGTGGTTTTGCATTTTAGGTGACGAAATACACTTCTTAGTATGTAGCATACCCATATTTCGTCAATTCCTTTTCAAAATCATATACACTGCTAATAATTACAATTTAGCAAGGCATACGTACAATACCTTTTGCTCTTTTGCTGCAGTGATTCGTATATTGTTTCCGCTTTTACTACAAATACATATATTTCTGCAAGAGTATGTAAATAGATACATATGTATGTATGTATGTACGTTTGTAGATGTGGCATATATGCAATTTAATTTTGCAAAGTTGGCGCGCAAATCGACGTTCGACGACACCTTGCCAATAAAGTGCGAAATTTCTTCAGCGAAACTACCAAACTGTGAAAGTAAACATATGTACATACAAAAATATGCCTCAAATATACATATATGTACATACATAAGTATGTACTGTCGCCTAGGCTATGGTGTCAGGGCAGTGAAAAGTTTATTTGTAGCATAAACTCGAGGGAAGTGTGTCAGACGCATTGTGATTATGCTTTTTACCATCGAATGATCCGGACACCAATGAACTCGAAGGCTTGTCTGTCTTTGTGGTCATGTTGCTAGCGCTGTAGCGATTTTAAAGTATTCGTCTTCCTGTGGCTCCTGGTTTACGCATACTATACAGATACCGAACTGGAAGCACTGGTGACAATGTTGTTTCATTTTTCAGTAAAATAACGCAACAATGTTGGAACATACATCAGACACAGAAAATAGTGGACGCACATCATTAGCAGCAGCGACAGTGACTCAACCTAAGAGCAGTCATTTCTCATTGGGTCGAAGGGTCCAACAACCAGCCATGAATTGTTATTATTGTAAGCTATTTGAGAGACCGACAAAAAAGCAAAAACTTACCTCTAACGAAGTTAAACCAGTTAAAAAGAGACAATACTATGATGTGCGGCGTAATGAGGAGCTGACGCGAGTAGACGTCGTCGAGAGACGCTCGTAAACAGAAGGGATGAGTGCACGACGGGATTCGCACTGACAAGGCGAACAGAGCAGCGACAAAAGCTGTTGCTTTCCCTGTTTCGCAACCATTTCACTTATACGCATGTATGTATGTATATTATGGTTGGTGTGCGATGACATATTCGTTCAGAGCAATGATGTTTCATTATTTTCCACATTATTATTAGTATGGCTAACGATTCGTGGTCTTGCAAAAACTACCATAAAACAGATGAACTCGTTCAAATGGATATGTACGCACATATTTATTTACATTATAAGTACATATTTACGTATATGCACCAAACCAAGCGCCACCATTACTACCACCAACGCCGTTCTGTTAACGGCGGGGACGAAAGCACCAACAAGAGCGACACAAGCTCAAGTAGTTCAGAGATTTTACACCGACGTCGGCGTTGATGAGCTGCCACCCACCACCACGGGACGGCGTGTAAAGAACTACGAAGCCTTCGAAGCGGACAGCAAGCACATGATCCTTAATTTCGTTATAATTTTGTGTGCTGCCTGGAATCGTATATCATTTTAAGTTTGATCGGCCGCGAATACGCGCGTACCACCGAACCGAGACATTGAGGTCGTACTCTTCGCGACAGCACGGTAACTCATATAGATGAAACAGTTAGCAGCAGAGTGAATAATTCGAAGGACACATTTGCATACATTTTCTGGCTGTGGTGCGGCACAGGGCAGTAGATTGCGATAGAGTTAAACGCATCCGAAATTACATTATTGTTATTACCCCCTCTCAAGAAGAGGAAATCGAATTTTCATTATTTGTAAACATTAGAAATTGGTCTGGTCTGCATCAGCTATCAACACGACGTACAGTGAACAGTTAGTTAAACACTCGCGTTGTATGGTGGTCGGGCGCCATTTACATATCTACATATATGAAGAGATTTTGGCATTAAATTGACGCGATTAAAAAGTTTATCGGGCCCAACATTCGCTCTTTCTCTCTCTTTCGGCATGACGGGCGTGTAAAAGAAACGCTGGACAAAGTTCACCCGTCGACAGGCGGTTCGTAACGCTACACACTTAACCAGCCAGTACTATAATCGGTCTTCTGAGTACTGTAGTCTGGCGGTGCCGTGGCCAGGAAAACAGTTTGCAGCTGGAATAGTGACTACGTATGTATGTGTATGTGCCTCCATGTATTGGGGTTAGTGATTATTTCAACTATTCACCAGTCGTTTACCTACTCAGTATAGACATCGAGACGCCAGTGTCGGTTACGCGTCGGTCAATCGGCGGACCAAATAAAAAGCAGCAAACAAATCTAATATATGCGTACACACACTTATAGATATCTACCCAGATACCTTAATAATTGTAATTGATTTTGAAATTAATTAATTGATTCAACCGCAAAATTCGTGAAGTGCGTCGAATTCGTGAAGTGACGTCTATGTTAAAGTGATATGTTGCAAATGGCTAATATTTTATCCTGTGTTTGTGAATTTTAATCAAACTGATTTGTACGCGTGTGAATCGAAAGCTCTATTGGATTGGTACTTCAAAGGATTAAACTGATTACCAACATTTTGTGTATTGTTGTGAGGGTGTGCTCATAGATATACCGCTTCCTCGTGTTCATACCGTTTTTCGCTGAGTGGTATAATTGATTTCTTCAAGACGTATATTGATACGCGATTTTACACCGGCCACAAGTTGGATTTCAAACAACACAGTTGTGCCGGCGGCCCTGTGTCCGGTGGTGGCGTCGTCGGCAATACCATCTCGAATTCCCTTCAGGCGCATCACGTACATCAGCCTCATTTGTCTACTAGTAATCCGTCTGCCCATTTACCACCGCATCATTCGCTCTTGCATCCACATCACGGAGGTACTTCTGCCGTAACGCACGCAGCCGTCCAAGCTCACGCCGTCGGCTTGTCGCATAGCGGTTTACCGCCCATAGGACAGCAGCAGCAGCAATCAGTTTCAGTAGCACCGACCGCACAACAACAGCCTTCACATCAGCAGCAACAACAATCGGCGCAGGCACAAGCCCAACAGTTACATACACCAACTTCCGTCGGTTGTGCGACCAGTAACGGCAGCGCCACCTCTGGTAGTGGCAGCAGTGCCGTCGGCTCGAATTCCGTATCGTCGTTGGTCATTGGCAACGGACCCGGTTCGGGCGGTAATAACGTCCATCCGATTTCGTCGGTGGCCACATCTGTTTCAACGGCTTCTTCCATACCTCACATCGTTCCACCCAGCCTGGGACTGAGTCCACAATCCAGTGCAGACTCCCAACAGTTTAATATATTTCCGGCTATATTTAGTCGGCAACTCAATTTCACTGCTGGTACTTGCGGCCAAAGCAAACTTTCAATGGATGAACTGCGTCCGAATTTGGTTGGCGGTTTGTTGGGCTTGCAACAAGGATTACTAGATGACCATGCGGCGAATATGCAACATGCTGGGGTATCTCAAGACACGAAATTCATGTCGTTTCAAGATAATCGGTTAATGGGCATTACTTCCTCGCATGAAAACCGCTTACTCGGCCTAACTTCATCGATGCAAGATACTCGTTCCCCACTCACATCCATCGACAAGGGCTCGCTTAATCACCAACGCAAATGCAGTAGTACACCCGAAGACTTTAGCTCATTGTACTCCGGCTTGCCCACACCTGGCATGGACACGTCTTCGCACCATCACACACCCGCGCACACCCCACCAACGCGACTCTCTGACCATTCGATATCCGGTAATTGTTGTATTGCATGGAGCTTGCTCTCAGAAAAATGCATGAATGACTGACAAAGGAACATGTGTGAATGTGAAAAGATTTGTAGAGCCTGCGAGTGGTCACTTTAATCCTTTCTTTCAATTTGTTGCACATTTCGATGTTCGCTTGTAGCAGCGTTCGCCCATTCTCCTCTCTTTGTAGTGGATTTATCTAAATCCCCGGATCGAGCAGAAGCCAATAACTCCTGCGAATCTCTGTACGTATGTATGTATGTGTTTGCATGTTTACCACAATGCGTTTGTTTGTTTGCGCTGTCAGCCGCTGAGTGTGTTGTTGTAACTGTGCACACGTGCCGGAGATTATCACGCATTTCGGGTGACTGTTAAGCTAAGTACCGCAATTATCTTCTCAAATGCGACAATTGAACTACTTACTCGACGAAATTTTATGCCTCAATATTTATTTATACAGAAAAAACAAAGGATCATAAAAGTACACAAACATCCATATAAAATTGGATAGTCAATTGAACAGTGATCGAGTTTAAATAATTTAGATGGGGACATATAGATGTTTTTGTGTTTGCTAAATATTACAAATCAACTTTTTTATTAAGTGATATAAAATAAACGTATAATGTCCATGTTACATTCGGATTTCGACTGCCGTTGGGAGATCGTTCCTAAAAAAATAATTTTAGATTTTGCTATATTTTTAAAAAAATTTGGCACAAATATTTGGTGTACGTATAGAAATGTATATTTTATTTAGGAATTGTTTTAACTTTTAACATAAGTCAGATATAAATTATCCTATCTTTTAAGTTAGATTAAACTGGACGACTTTATAAATATTATTAAACGTGCCTAATAAATTTCAATAATATTATACTTATAAATGTGAATAAGAACTTAAAATATAGTGTTTAAAGCGACGAAATAATTATAATGAAAAAGAAGCAGAGCTTTAATTTGAATTAGTTATAGCCGTTTTCTTCAACTGAATTAAGTACTTAATTAAAAAGGAGGAATAGACTGTTTTTTTAAATGAAAAATAGCAGGTTCATCATAATAGCGATAGCCTTTTGATTTGAAGCAGTTAAAATTCGCGAGTGTAAATAAACACCTTTGAAAATTATGAACTTTGCAGAGTCAAATGTCAAGGACTTTTGGAAAAATATAATAAATGGTGATCTATTTCGAGGTTCCTCACTAAAAAAAATTACAAAAAGTTCAAATTTAATGGGGAATGTTTATTATCATTCGAAAGAACATTCTTTCGCATTTATTTTTTGAGGATTATCTCTTTCAAATGTGGTCGCGGTTACGTCTCAGACGGTTCATCCGTTGAGTCAAATTTTGGATGACTCGCTCGAGCACTCAATTGGTAATTGGCGAATGACAAGTATGATGTTTTGCTCGAAGGTCTGAATTCAAGCGGGTTTATCCGCATATACCTTAGACTTTACTTATCCCCACAGAATAAAGTCTAACGGTGTGATATCACACGGCCTTGGTGGCCAATTGACCTTCCCTAAACGTGCAATTATCTGCTCACCGTAGTGTTCTCTGGATAAATTCTAGCGATGTGTGAGAAAATCGCCGTCTTGTGGAAAACAAATGCCGCCGAAATCAGACGAGCTTCAATTTCAGGCATCAAATAGACCGATGATTCCACCGGCCCACAAACCAGAACAAACCATTTTTGGCGTTCTTGATTGCGCTTCCACCCAAATGCGGCAATTTTGCTTGTTTACATATCCATTGAGCCAGAAATGGGCCTCATCGTTGAACAAAACTTTACTCGAAAACGTCGGATGTTCTTCGAACTGGCTGTTATATTTTCTTTACTGCGTGCTGGCTATGTAAATGTTGTTCAGGCGTAAGTCTGCCCACAAAGAAATGCCAAACAAAACTGAACAAAAATAACATGACAGCTTGACACGATTCTCGCGTGATCTAACAAAAGAGGCAATTGAAAAAGTATCTCTGCTTAAATCACTAGTTACAATACTTGGACCATTTCACAAGATAACCTTTGCCCGGCATTTGAAAGGACAATTTTAGGAATTTTAGATTTTATGTGAACAAAGCAAAAATGTATCATCAACTAATTGACGAAATCAGTTTAAACATCGTTGCGCAGAATTTTTGCAGTGAGTTATTGCTCTTTTGGAAATTTATCTTTATCGCTCTTTTAATTCACTAAAAATCTCCTTCGCAACGATATGTAAAATGATTTTGTAATTTTTCAAATAACTGTTATATTGTGCGTGGTAATTTCTGATTTTATACGCAAAATAATAAGATTAGACTTTGGGCGTGGCACCGCCCATATTTAGGTGAAATAACACATATCCAGACTTACTTCACCAATTGCGACCAAATTCGGTACATACATTATCTTTAAGTTGTGAAAATTGGCGCAATCGGACCACAACCACTTCTCCTTCTCATATAGCACAATTATAATTTCCATAGGATTTTTACCTCTCCAGTACGCAAATCAAGCATCAGTGAATATATTGGCACAAATAGTGCCTCTGAGGTATGCCAAATTCGAGGCCAAATTTCGCATATGTTAACTCCAGGATGTATGGCTGACTTTTTACCGAAAGTATTGGCCTATCTGTGAGATATGTTATTGAAATTCGGGAAAACACTTCTTTGATAATAATAAACCATTGTATAAAATTAGGTTAAATCGCATCAATACTTTACTTAGCCCCCATATATGTATGTACGTAATAACATATAAAGATTTTCGAACATCCAGTTGACTTTATACTACATAAATCGTCTAATGTGCAGGTTATTTAAATGGAATTGAGAGAGCGTATTTCTCTAATAACAGTGTATCTTTGTACCTAAAATCGACCTTATCCCTATTTACCCTAGACCCCGCCACTAACAAGCCTTTTAGACCTGAAGGTATTTTCCGAGGTTTAATCCTGGAAAGTTGCAGAAGTATGAAATGTTCGGTTACACCCGAACCTACTCTTTCTTACTTGTTAAAAACATTACTGTTTTTATATAAATGTGTATAGATAGATGCTAGTTAGGCTAGCCACTGAAACAGCCGAAAGATTGTTGTGTCGCTAAGCTAGAAAAAATTAACATGAGAAGTTTCTAGTCAAATTTGCTTGAAGCTACTGTTATAATAAACATTTTTAAATGTAACATAACATATACAAGACAAAAATGATATTCATAAAATATTTTAATGAAACAAAAAAAAAAAACAACAAGTTAACAAAATCAGACTATGCTCTAGTAGGCAGCATGTCCAAATAATTTTTGACAAATGATGAATAAAAGAAAATGTGAAAATGAGAACAATATGTTTAGATGCATGGCCACTGTAGCGGGAATAACATCATGTGCAGATTCATTAATTTTTTTCGTAATTTTTTTCTTCACATAACTAATTTATCAAGTTTTAACCTCAAGCTGATGAAAAATTATTGTTATTGGTTAATTTTGTAGATTAACAAATCGCGCGATGCCTCTTTGATGGGTTTTTTAAACACGCCGCAGCGAAACATTTAGCATCCACAATTGTCGTCCTTGCGCAAGAAAAGTTGTTAAAGGGTTAGGTGGGTTTGAAAGTTTCCAAAAATCGATTTTTTTTGTTTGCTTTATTAAATTCTACAATACCTCTAGAATATAGTCCTAAATTTTAAAGTTGATCTGTGTAATAATTTCGGAGATACAGCCTTGAGAACTTGTGCACTCMAGGCTAGCTGCGCTAAGTGCCCTGTCTTTAAACGCGTTTTTCTCGAAACCGTGTTTTTGAAGTTGGTGGACACGATTTCTCGAAAAGTTATGGGCCGATTTAGTTCGTACTGTGTACACGGTTTTGAAATAATATTATCTAATTATTGAAAGAATTATTTTTTCTTGTTTCATTACAACTTATTTTTGTGACCAAAAAATGCCGAAAATTTTACCAAAAATGAGATTTTTTGTTCAAAGTTCGAGGAAAGGACAATTTTAATATTTTTTTATTTCCTACTTTCAAAAACGAGATTTAGATATGTACCAACAGAATATGCTTAGTTTTTTAATTTTATATGAACCAATAATGAGTTATGCTGTCCACGGCGAGAGCACTTTTTTGAGAGACACCCTGGGAAATGCGGTCTCAACGGCGGAATTTTCAACATCTTTGTATCGAAATTTCAGGATATACTGTACGAATATATACCTTTGATATAACATATTATATTTTTCAAATATATGATTGCTTGTGTTAAAAAAAAAATCGTAAAATTACCTTTTTTTGTACCTCTGAAACCCACATAACCCCTTAAACACATCAAACAGAAGAACATAGGTAAATTTGAAAATATTGATTCCTTCAAAAATTATTGTAAATGCCTGACAGAAAAAATGAAAATTTAATTTAATAATTTTGTGATAAATTGGCCATTAAAAAGTTTTGAATAAAACGAAATTTCTTTAGATACTTATACTTACTAGTTATATATATTTAAAGTCGTTTGAAATATTTTAAATTAAATTAAATCATAGTTTAAGCAAAAAAATCAAAAAATTTATTGAAAATTATACAGTGGCCGTACACCTTATAGACATGCCTCCTACAATAAATTGAATTTTATAAAGAATAAGTTTGTAAGAAGCAAAAATTCAAAGGTTCCACCTATAAATGTATTCTTCTATCTGGTACATATTTAAATAAGAATCAAAAACTTTTTTCAGAACTTTAACTGCTCATTTTTGTTCGGCCTTACTCGTTGTTATTAAAATTTATTCACATCCTGTTTGCAAGAAAAGTCGTGTGTTGTCCATTGGCCTGATATTGTCCTTATTGGCCTTGGTATTGAATTTCCAACAAAAATTAATTTAACAAAATAAAATGAGCTTATTTTTTATTTTAACATAGTGAAGTGTGGGATGTTCTAACAAAAGCCTACTTATATCAAGTACATTTTGGGTAATATAAATCTAGATCTAGTAACATACTCCTACCTAAGATCCGAACATATGTTTTCAGCACCGAATCTACATATGTCAAATATGCAAAGACTGATTTTTAAATTCTGACGTTTGGTACTTAATGGTAGTTAATGGAACTTATTGTTTGTTTGTTTGTTTGAATGTGGAATAATATATCCTTTGCAAGCCAAGCTTTTAAGGTACCCTTTTGGTTTCGATGCATTTTGGTACATAAAGTGCATTCGGCGATGTTTACGATGAGTGCAATTATTCAACAAAAAAGTTAAAAATCAGAGTCAAATTGCTGGTGCCGAAACGTTCAGAATGTTGTAAAACGCTTAAATTGCTGATAATTATTTGTCGTGAGCCCATGTGTTGATTGGTACAAATGGTACCACGACCAGGATGGCCATTAACATTAACTGATAACCAACATGTCAATAAAATAAAAGACGATTGACAGTCAGAGATCTTAATGGAATCGTTGGAATATCGGAAGAATCAGTGAAAACCATACTTTTCTTTTGCACTGCAAAACTGTCAACAAGGAATACGAGTGTTATACGTCCATTGCGCGAAGCTATCCGTATAAAGAGCCGGATTATGGGCCGACAACTCTTGGTTTTCGCACGACGATAATGCACCGTCGCATACCGAATTGATTCTTCGCGAGTTCTTTAATAAAATTGCAACCAATATGGTGCCGCAACCACTGTATTCACCTGATTTGGCTCCGTGTGACTTCTGCCTACTCAGCCAACTCAAACGACCGCTCTGGGGAAACTGTTTTGTGTCAATTGAAGGCATTAAACGTGAATCGCTACGCGGATTGAGGGCTATTCCGGAAATTGATTTTATAAACTGTTTCGAGGATAGGAAAAAACATATGCAAAAGTGTATTGTGGTCAAGTGGGATTATTTTGTGAAGATTAAGAGTTTTAAAATGATGAAAAAATTTTACTATTTTTTGCTCTTAGCAGTATGACATTACCTGTTAATAAAATTGTCAGAGTTATTATGTTCTGAAAGGCACCTTGTGTTTACAGCAAAAACACAGATCATAACATTTATATCTTTACACCATCTCTTAGTTTTATTTTTGACGCGACACATTCAAAAAGATGCACAATAAATTCTAGTTGCGTTACCAGTTTTGGAGTTATGAGGTGATAATTGGAAACAGACACCAAATCGTCTGAACGAAATTGTTAATTCAAAATATGTTGTGTCCTTATTCTCTTTACAACTGGTGCTCATTGCTTCGCCTTTTCTGTTTCGTCATCATGAAGATGATGTTAAAGTAAGCCGTTAAAAAAATTTGTTAAAACTTTTTTTGTATGTAACTGCTGAGTAGATATTGATTCTTCGTATTTAAGAAATGTTTATTATTATCGTCTATTTAAGATTTCGTTAGGTTACACATAAAAAATATGATAATATTTTTTTTTGATCAAAAACATAATGAAATAATTCGAGTTTCAGTCGCCGAGCTGTTAAATTGATGAAATCAATTGAAATTTTGCGCACGAAGGCTAGAGTAAAAACCGCGAATGTATTTGTGAGATTATTTAATGTTTCGTTCCATTCAACTTTTTTCAAATATATAATACAAAAGGGGTGAAAATTATGGGTTGTTATTACCACTTCATTACAGTTGTATCCTGACTTTACTATTAGTTTCAAAATTAGTTTTGCGCTAATGCCGCTAATGTCATAGCTACTACTCATTGCGTCAAACGGTATTTTACATGGACTCCGAATTAAGTGATTGTCGGATTTGTCGCTCTTTACCTGCTTGGTAAAAGCGGACAGTCCGACATTCATGTAAATACGCAAATTACTCAGGATGAGTTTTAACTTGATGAAATTTCACCTCGATTAATATAAAATTTCCATAAATTATCCCAAGGTTGCATATTCATATGACCGTTAGGCCGCTGAGTTGCCGTTAGACGCACCTGTGCTTTACATTTTACGTTTTCTGCTTCATCTTCACCACTGCGGGAATATTATTCTACCTATATATAAGTGTTATTGTTGTTGATCTTTGGAACGTCACCAACCCGCCCACACTTTCCTGCCTTTTCGCCCACTCTTGTTTGTGTGCGAATTCCTTGACTTTCTGCTTGTGTTGTGGCCGCAGTTTGGTTAGTCTAATTATTCATAATTTTAGGGTCAGTGCTTGGCGGCGCTTAAACGTTTTTTGAATAATAATTTGCCGGTATTTTATGCCGCCTTAAATCCGCCATCTTTGACTGAATGTACTGTACAAGAGTGCATGAGAGAGATTGACTTAAAAATGTGTATGCCAAGGAGAGTGAACATTCGTATATGCATGTGTGAGTAGCTGGGTACATGCCATTGTATGTTGGTTTGCCTCAAATTATACATAAATGTCACATATTTAAGAAATCAACAGCTGTTGGCATAGTTATCTCTATTCTAGTTAATTTAACCTCATACACAAACAATATATTAATATAATTTATATACAAACGACGAGTAAATGTAAATACATACTTATTAAATAGTTTACTTTGGACTAAATTGAATTTTGCAGCGGAAGGTGCATTTAAGAAGCTCAAGCCCGAACCTAATACGGGACTCTCGTCTGTTTCCGGCGGTGTCACGTCGCCCGGAAATGGTTTATCTTCGTTAAGTCAACATGCCGGCCATACACCGACCACAGCATCCTGCCCGACTCCGGCGAGACGAAGACATCGGACGACGTTTACACAGGTCAGTTACATAAATCTTGTTCAAATCAACTCTAATCTTAATACTACTCTAGTGTACATGACATTTATGTGTACGTCTACCATATCAATACAAACATATGGGTGCAGATGTACTCGTACTATATTACATTAGGAACCAATTTCGTCTGTTGGTGCAAGCAATCAAGTCCCGTTTATTTAATATATTGAAAATCTCGTTACAAATGTATAGAATGTAATTAGTATACATACATTTCTAATTCTGGACTATTTTAGAGAAACATTTGCTTCACTAAAATGTTATAACGACATTCATAAACTTATTGTACGACGTAAAACTTGAAATAATTGCTTGAACAATTAAAATGCACATTCAAATTAAGCTTTAAGATATTTGTATAGGGTGATCTATTTCAAGGTTGCTCCTCTTTTAAAGAAAAACTGAAAAACTTCATATTTAGTGGGGAATGTTTATGTCATTCGAAAGAATATTCTTTGGTACTTACATATATTTTGAAGTTTACCTCTTTCAAACGTTGGCCGTGGCTACTTCTCAGATGACCCGTTCGAGCATTTCGTTTTGTTCCACGGCCTGAATCGAAACGAGATTATACGCAGAGACTTTAGACTTTACATACCCTTCTGCGGGTAAGGGTTAGAATTTACCAGTGGCATGCCTGTCAGAAATAGTTCTATACTACTCAGTTTGAAATGATTATTATAGGCTTTATATTTATTCCTGGTATAAAGGCATTTGTGGTTCAAGCGACAAATGTCACCAGTCATTTTAGTTCTGGGGGCTCAACTCAACTGGTAGTAGTAAAAGCTACAAGGTCTTACCTGAGACTTTAACCTGGTACCACAGGGAGCAGTTTTCCCTTGGAGTTTACTCCTAACTGCTCATTGGGTTTGGCTAAAGGTAGGCAGGTTTGAAAAATTCAATCCAATGTGAACTCGCATTGCGGCCGGGTGCCGGACCCAAAAGTACGGTAGAGGTTTTAGATCGGTCTCGTACCCGACCAAGGCGGTTAAGGTGTCTCTATCCACCTGAATCAATTGGAACCAAAATTAGGCAAGGCCGTCGTCGGCAGGTACTCACGTAAATCACAACAATTGTTGTTTACATAGCCCCACATGAAAAAGTCTAACGGTGTAATATCTTACGGTTTTGGTGGCCAATTGACTGGCCCAAAACGTGAAATTATCTGCTCACGGAAGTATTCGCTCAATAAATTGATTGATTAGTGTGATGTGTGGGAAGTCGCGCAGTCTTGTTGAAACAAATTTCATTATCGAGGTAAAATGCGACAAGTCATTCCATACGTCAGCCCGAGTTGTTGTGAATGGCGCCGAATCGACTCTCCACGGTCTTGTGTGGGGTACACTCAACTACGGTTGCTATATTTCATTCACTGCGTGCCAGACGTGGTCTTTGGATCTCAAGATGGGTGATTCTGTTGCGAATAGTATAAAGTTCAATTGTTAAAGGTTGTTCAGGCGTAAGACTTTTCATGATGAAATGTCAAACAATAATTATACAGCTTGAAACGACCCACAACCAATAACCCGTTATAAATACATATGGATACTGAACAAATATAGACAGAAATTATACATTTACATCATACAGTTACATTTTGAATATGAGCATAGACAATATCGGTAGTTTTTATTGTTGAATGAACTTCCGTTCAAATGCTAAATTTAAATCGATTTTTGCTGAGCAAGTAGGCGATATATATATATGTAAAAGTGGTTGCATAAAAACCAGTGATGTGTTTTTCTAACAATTTTTGTTTCCTTTAACATAGACTTTAAACAGAAGGGTGTATTTTTCTAGTATTTCGGTTTTAATATCCTCCCTAGAATAGGCTTTACAGGTATTGAAAACAATAAAATGTATATATTAAGTTAGTATTTAATTCCCTTAAGAAATAAATCGAAATAAAACAGAGTCAGGAACTATTTTGTATGACAGTATTCAAATTGCAAAGCTGTTAGACTTAATTTCTCAAGCTTCAATATATAAAATGATTTATCTTTTCTTCTGGTTGACTTTGTTCCTTGAATCATATGTCGGTCGATATGTGAAATGTATTGTAATGGAATTGATCATAGTATATTTATGGGTATTCGAAAAAACTTTCTTGTCTTAATGTAATTGGGTACCAAAACTGCACTTATACTCTGCTCATCACTAGTTAATTTTAGGTATTAACTAACTTTTTCGCTCTCTCATCTTTGTATTAACAATCATACAAACGATTTGTTGAAAAATCGCTCCAATAAGTTCAATATATATATCTCCTAAACCACTAAAGCTAAATTCGCCTAACCCAAATACTCTACGAATTCCTACCAAAGTGTGAAAATGGATGAGCTCGGGTGATAACCCTGCTAACTCCCTATATAAGGAGTTAATATAAATAAATAACTAAAAACCCCAGAGACATTAAATTTTGCCACCGAGATGGTATGGGAGGGTTTTATGGCAGCTAAATTTGGTACGTGACATTCTTCTTATATTCTTATGTTACAGTGCAAAAATGGGAGAAATCAGACTGCAACCACGCCTACAGCACAATTTTATTCACTTAATTCTGTCACTTTCCAGTTCACATAAGTGTAATAATAAGTATATTACCTTAAAACCAAAAATTTCATAAACCCAACCAGGACTGTTCAATCCCCTAGGACCCCAGTATCATTAGTTGACTTTTGACTCAAAATATCGATCGATCTATGGGATATAGAATTGAAATTCGGAGAGAAACCTTTCCTGACAATAGTGTTTCTGTATATAAAAAATGGGTTGAATGGGTAAATTCTTCTTTGAGCCCCCATATACCTAATATAAAGATTTTCGAACTCCCAGGTGACTTTATGGTGGAGATATCGGCCAATATTTGAGTTATCTCTATGAAAATTACAGAACTGACTTTACTCCATATCATTGGCGATTGCATTTGCGATATGGTACCTTAATGAAACTCATCCGTTTTTTCTAGTATGTGGCATGATAATATTTAATGGGTAAAGTGGGGTCGATACTACCTTAACTCCCATCAAATATCTCCCTTCCGCTTTTTTGCTCTTTATTCAATGCTTTATAAAAAGTGTTACTGTGATCGGATTTCGTTCAAATATGCGCCGTTTCGTTCGATAATATGTTTCCATCTAGACGGAAACATCATAAAACCCCCCGCGTGGAAGCCTCTCCTTATTTACGAAGAACTCAGACAGCCACTATTCACCATCCTCTTTTGAGTTCACCTATGCACTAACAAGGGCGTTTGCCATGGACATGAACAGGTGGTAATCACTTAGCGCTATGTCCGTTCTATATAGTGGATGCAATAAAACCTTCCATCCAGCCTTCGGCAGATGGTTTAAAATAGTTTGGTCACTAACATCCATCTTCTGGGCGATGTCAGGAGATGCCACATGCCGGTCTAACACGGAGTTTTTCATGATTTGATCGGTATTCGTCGCCACAGGTCTTTCGCCGTCTGACTTATCCATGGTGTCGAAACCATTCCTCCGTAGTTCCAAGTAATAGAGTACCATCTCCTAAAACACATTAATTTCACGGAACGTTTCTCTAGCGGATTTGCCTTTAATGAAGGAAAACTTTAAAATAGCGCGAATTTTGACGTTAGTGAGCTCTATGTTTACTCGTCTATAACTGTTGAGCACAATATCCAAACTAATAATGTATGGCACCGCTTTGTAGGTTTTGTCAAGACCTTAAGGCAAGTAAGGAAGGGCTAAGTTCGGGTGTCACCGAACATTTTATACTCTCGCATGATAAAGTGATAATCGAGATTTCAGGCGTGGTTGTGAACCGATTTCACCCATATTTGGTACATGTCATCAGGGTGTTAAGAAAGTATTATACACCGAATTTGGAAATCGCAGTGGGCCGATTTTGTCCATCTTCGAACTTAACCTTCTTATGGAGCTAAGAAATACGAGTACCAAGTTTCATCATGATATCTCAATTTTTACTCAATTTACAGCTTGCACGGACGGACGGACAGACGGATTTCAACTCTACTCGTTACCCTGATCACTTATATAACCCTATATCTGACTCTTTTAGTTTTAGGACTTACAAACAACCGTTATGTGAACAAAACAATAATACTCTCTTTAGCAACTTTGTTGCGAGAGTATAAAAAAAAGACCATAATGATATTCGGTTTTCTAACAAATTTTATGCCGAGTATGTCGGTCAATGTATTTATAAGCTATATAGAGTATATCCTCATCTGAAATGCAAAATAACGTATCATCAAAAAATTCAATATTGAGTATCTTATTGATTACGATTCACTACTTCAAATTACATACATAATATTACATATGTCCAACATTTTCAGGTTCCCTCAGATATAAACCAGCTTTAACCAATATAAATATTTTGTTTCACTCATGCTCTATTTTATTTCGTGTTTCATTAACGGCACTGTAAATTTTCGAAAATGTTGTTACGTTATTTTGCATTTCAGGTGACGATATGTACTTGTACGTTATATTGGTGCCAATTTTATCAATCCAAGAACTTAATTTTTTCAGTATGCGATGTAAGAAACATATGTTAAATAAGTTAAGTTATAAATATATTTTCGAAATCCATGCTCCATTTTCTTCTCGTTAGTATTAAACTTTTGAGTTAAAAAATTTTAAAACTTATGTATGCATATAACCTACAAATATTTTTGTCATTTATTTCAGGAGCAACTAGCTGAGCTGGAGGCAGCATTTGCAAAATCACATTACCCGGACATTTACTGTAGAGAGGAACTGGCACGAACGACGAAGCTGAATGAAGCACGAATACAAGTAAGTTAGCCCACAGTTGAGATAATGATCGCACAATAAACAATTAGACTCACCACAATTGCGCAACTAATCATAATCATAAAAAACATGCTAAAAACACAAACTCCATTGTCACTCGATCAGATATCTCTTTGTACCCGAATGTACACGTATGTATCACTTCGCTGTCCGTGCTAATCATGATTAGCGATTAGTCGGCGATTATTCCGATTCAATGCCTGCAACGCGTATAGCATTTGGCCGCAGTGTCGCTGTAAAGTGCACTCATTATTTTATTTCAATACAAAACAATTCGAACTGTTGACATCCGATTCATCGGCTTAGAAGTCTATCAAAACCCGCTTACATTGTATGTACATCTAATTTTACTCGCATATGTATGCACATGGTTCGTGATGGATTTACACACGTAGTTCCCTTTGTGCCCCGCAGTTATAATTAATTTATAGTTTTATAATGACGCCAACCCTCGTTAGGGCGAAATACTTGTACGGCAAGTAAAGTCGATGGGTGGTGCACCCTTGCTTATATTACTGTAACACTTGTCGTCGGTACGCCTCAAAGTATGTTGCGTTATTTTAGCTTGCTCGTGAATATTTTAGACCAGATGTAGACTCTGTGCCGACTCAAATAGCGGCCCGCCCAGGGGTAGGCGGGAAAGCGGGCAGCGTTCGTCAAATTGCTGGGGTTGCTGCTCAATTTGTAATAGTACGGCCGCAATCGAAAATATTTGAACATTTGCAATAAAATATGGTTTACGCTCGCTAATAAGACGGTGGTTAATGGTTCAAACCTTTAGAGTGTTTAGTGTTGTTGGTGGCGCTATTTGGTAAGAGTTGAAAGCTGATGACATCGCATCACATTTGTCATTTGATGACTTGCTAATGCGCTTTTAAAACCTTATCACACTTTTAATCTGCGATTACCCATATGCACTTGCAAATATAAAGAACACATAAATATATACATATATTTTTACATGCATTTCATTTAAATTAGATACATATTTGTTTTCCGCATTTTGACAATTGCTTACAAATTCTTCTTCTTCTTAATTGGCGTAGTCCCCGCTTACGCCATTGTAGCCGAGTTAACGACCGCGCGCCAGTCGTTTCTTCTTTTCGCTACGTGGCCAAGCGTAGCCAGGTCCTTCTCCACTCGGTCCTTTCAACGGAGTAGAGGTCTTGCTCTTCCTCTGCTTCCCCAGGCGGATACTGCGTCGAATACTTTCAGAGATGGAGTGTTTTCGTCCATCCGGAAAACATGACCTAGCCAGCGTAGCCGCTGTCTTTTAATTCGCTGAACCATGTCAATGTCGTCGTATATCTCGTACAGCTCATCGTTCCTTCGAATGCGAAATTCGCCGTGGCCAACGCGCAAAGGACCATAAATCTTTCGCAGAACTTTTCTCTCGAAAACTCGCAACGTCGACTCATCCGTTGTTGACATTGTCCAAGCCTCTGCGCCATATAGCAGGACGGGAGTTATGAGTGACTTATAGAGTTTGGTTTTTGTTTGTCGAGAGAGGACTTTGCTTCTTAATTGCCTACTCAGTCCGAAGTAGCACCTGTTGGCAAGAGTTATCCTGCGTTGGATTTCTAGGCTGACATTGTTGGTGGTGTTTACGCTGGTTCCAACATAGACGAAATTATCTACGACTTCAAAGTTATGACTGTCAACAGTGACGTGAGAGCCTAGTCGCGAGTGCGACGACTGTTTGTTTGATGATAGAACATATTTGTCTTGTCCCATTTGGTTTGATTCCTTGTCCAGTCTGGAGAAAGCAGAACTAACGGCGCGGCTGTTGAGGCCAATGATATCAATATCATCGGCATACGCCAGCAGCTGTACAGTCTTATAGAAGATGGTACGTTCCCTATTTAGTTCTGCAGCTCGAACTATTTTCTCTAGAAGCAGGTTGAAAAAGTCGCACGATAAGGAATCGTTTTGTCTAAAACCTCGTTTGGTATCGAACGGCTCGGAGAGATCCTTCCCTATTCTGATGGAGCTTTTGGTGCTGCTCAACGTCAGCTTACAAATTCATAACTGTATTTATTTAGAAAGAAAAATTAACTTAATACCTGCGTACATACATACATATATACATATATAATATTTATATCTAACACTTTTGAAATATTAACACGGTGAACCAAATAAAATACATTTAAAATAATAGAACAATAATTTGGGCCCAAACTTTAAACAAATCTCAATTGTTCTAAAGGCCACTGCGATTAAGTAGCGTATGAATATATATGATGTGGAGTGGCCCTCGGGACATAGATCGCTTTATCGCCTACCCTTCTTAGATTTTGTCTTGAACTGGTGGATGCGGCCACTAATAACTATTCAATACAGGAAAAATTGTATTTACGAATAAAGGCGAAAACTGGTTACCAGCCTTTCTGTCCAATTAATATATTGTACTTAATAAACATCAACAAATTCTGGGACAGGCCAATGTGCATAGCTAATGCAGATGTCCGCTTGATAAAGCGTCCAGCTTCCACTGTATTTTTTATTTATGCATTTTTTACCATCCTATCTTCTAATTTGGTTCGAACTGAACACAGTGAGTTAAATTTTGTTAAAATCGGTTTAGGTAAAAAAGTTTAGGAGTCCACTGCGGACAAACAACGTGATACGTAATTTTTATATATTAAGATTACATGAAACACAATGAAAGCTAAGCAATCACAATCGTCATCTAAATTGGAAGATATATGTAAAAATAGTTTTGAAGAAGTGTCTTATCAACAATTCATCACTTAAATACAACAATTAATTCAACATTTAAAGTACTACTATGAGCAAAGAGTTATCAGCCCATAATTCCGACCTGTTTTTATGAATAGCTTCGCGCAGACAACGCATAATACCCAAATAGTATTTCTGGTTGATAGTTTGGACGGTTTGAAAGAATTCGGAGAGCTCCACTCCGCGATAACTGAAGAAAACCGTCACCGATTGGTGGTATGTTTCCAGGTCGTAAGTATAGATCCAAGACTCATCGCCAGTAATAATATGTTTCATAACATCACGGTAGTCGGAAAGCATTGTTTCACAGACGGTAACGCCATGCTGTTTTCCGAAAAACTTGAGTGATTTTGGAAGCAATCGTGCATTCACTTTTCTTAGGCTCAAATGATCTGATAAAATTATTTTCACTGATCCTTCCGATAATCCAACGATGCCAGTAAGATCTCTGATAACCGTCGATTCTCAAACCATTTCCTTTATTTTATTGATGTAAAATAAAATAAAATACAAATATAACACGTAAGGTTTTCTCGTACAACTGAACATTAGATACCTAAGACTTCTATTCTTTTGAGCATTTTCAGACATCGTTGCTTTCAATATTTGTTAGGAAAAAATTGTGAACCCAATATATCCATTGAGGGCACTACTCAATACATTAAGATATTTTGGTCAATATTCGCAATATCTAGAAGCAAACAAATGAGGAAAGGGGTTTACTGTAACCGAACAATGTATGCTCAATTTGCTCAAACACTGGCATATATGGTACTTTCAGAAGATGGCAAAGCTTTATACCGTGATTTGTTGTTGCTTTTATACCTTTTTTGAGATATCGCGTCAATTAGTTATATGGCAAGGAATGTCGATTTATTCAAATAAATATAAATATTTCATGTTATGACACAAGCATAGTCCATTATGTAGTTTTCTTTGAGATATTCGAACAATGGAATTCAGGAATTTTCATTGTTTTAACCGCGTTGTCAATAAGTATTTATTTTTTGTAGTTGTAAGACTTTTATTAAATCATTGCAGCCTTCAGAGTTGATGAGATATGGTAATTTTGGTTCAAATTCCAGAGAGAATTCGAAATGCATCTGTAGACCGACATTATAGGAGCGAAAATCAAATGAAATCGCTCTGAATGCATGAAACGAAAATATTTTCGATTTGCAATCGTTCTTTCATATACACTACTTTTGCTTATATAACCATGATATTATATGTTTATTAAACTTTTCTATGACACCTTATCCACCTAAGATATTTTATCAATCGAAAATTTTAAACTTGTATATTGTGTTAGTATAGACCCGCTTTAATCCAGTTTAGGCAAGTGGACATACTGTTAATAGAGAGACGCTCTTTTATTTCTTTAACATATATCACATATTCACTGGAATATACGGTATAAGGACAACCAGAAATATTTATATATTATGTTTCTAAAATGTCCCTTTACCAAATAAAAGTTTCTATTTGACTTTGAACTAAGTTATAGCACTTTATATGTTTTCTATTAAACACAATTTGTGGGCGCGACAAAAGTCCAATTCCACTCTTCTGTAAACCTGTAAACTATCCTTTTTAAGTTGTAAAATAACATGGGTAGCAAAGTTCAACAAGATATTTAAATTTTTACGTAGGGCATCGCTTACACTGACGGATGGTCGGACAAACAGGCATCCGGAATACAACTTGTCTGATTCTCATGATCATTTATGTTTACTTATATATTAATATAACGTACAACCTATAGCGACATTTTATGAAAGAATTATCCTTAGAAAAAGACATCTAATATGTTTCTGCATGAAGTAATCAATACGTGTATCTCGATTACTGTTAGAAAAAATTGTCATGGAAGAATAGATGTATACCCTTTACAGCACACTTTATTTTGTTGAGATACTTTTTATAGAATAATCTCGAGTAGAAGTACACAGCTCGACACTTCAATAAATCAAATATTTTATCGGTGTGTTCTTGTTTTTCATATATGTTCGTAATATGTAATTCGTAAATAAAATAAAAAACTAAGAAGAAATAATATGAAATAATATGAAATAATAATTATTATATACGAGTATCTACAAGTTGCTTTCCAAAGTAAACAGGACTTTTTAAATCTATATGTCGACTGGCACGTTAGAATCTGATGTTTTTATCGATTGTCCAGTGATAATTTCATGCATTTCATCGAACGTCAGTATGTTTGTTTTATCGGTGCGAAAATGAGCTTCGAACAAAGAGCCAACATTAAATTTTGTTTTAAATTTGGTAAAACTTTTAGCAAAATGTTTCACTTGATGAAACAAGTTTATGGCAATGATTGCCTATCCCGTAGCAGAGTGTACGAGTGGTTTGAACGTTTTTAAAGGTGGTCGTGAGGACATAAATGACGATCAACATGAAGCCCGTTCAAAATCCATGATTTCACCATTGAAATTCATGAAAATGGAATTGAACAAATCCAAAACATCGATTTATCGCATTTTGACCAAATATTTGGGCTTACGAAAGGTGTGTGTATGGCTTGTTCTGCATAAATTGAGTGACGACCAAAAATTTATCAGAATCCAACATTCGAAGGACATCATTAAAGAGGTTTATTTGACCAAAAATCACATTTAAACTAATAACCACTCCTCGCATTCAACTGACATGGCACCTTGCGACTTCTTCCTTTTCGGAGAAATGCATTTGCCCATGAAAGGAAAGCGTTATGCAGACGTAGAGGCATTTAAAAGGATTGCACCGGCATACTGGCGACCATACCGACATGCTTTTGGAATGTGCAAAAATCTGTATTGAAGCAGAAGGAGACTATTTTGAATAAAATAAATTGATTTTGCCAAAAAAACCATTTGTTCTGTTTTTTTTAAAGTCCTGTTTACTTTGGAACACACCTTGTACTTATAGATATGGTAATAACAACATGCTTTGTTACAAAAGACAAACCGATATTATGAGAGTTTTTAAATTCATATTCTAACTTTAATAAAACCCCTAGTAATCATACCATAATGACCAATGTTAATCCCAGCCTTCTTACCTCACCCATTTATCATCTTGCTACGCGGTTATATCGCTTTGAAATTTCATCACACGACCAAATACAAAATAAACAAGGCTTGAATAAAAAATATAGCGAAATGTTAAATTTGAAATTGAATATAATATGAAGGAAGGCGAATGGAAAAGGGAAGCAAACAGAAAATAAACGAAAAATTCCGAAACGTCGCGCAGTGTGTATAAAGAAGGGAGCAAATCCTGCAGCACAAGTTGACGACGCCGTTCATTGTGCCACATACATATGCACTCGTAAATACACAGATATACCCATATTAATGGAGGTAGCATCAAAGACTATGATGGCAATAGCAATTTTAATGGAGGAGACGTAGAAATGTCTTAAGATGAAAGCCAAGCAAAATGGAAGGACGAAATTATTTTTGTTCTTTTTTTATATCGTATATATTTTTTTTTTGGATTTAGTGAAATTTGAACATACATACATACATGTTCATATGTACGTACATTGTATATATGTAAGTTGATGGTAGCTTTGGAAAAAAATAATTTATTACAAAATGGGGTAGCTTAGTGTTGTGTCTATATTATGACTCTGTGTGTTCGTCGTATTTCTGGAGCATTGACGACAAGTAGAAATAAAATAAGGCAATAAGATGCGGCAATGTCTAAGTCTTGCAGCGAATGCTTAGCGGTCTTGAAACGGTCTATGAAATAATGCATTTTTAAGGTATGTTCAGTTATAATTGTAGGGAAAAGTTTAGAACTGTTAAAATAGTACAAATTTATAGTAAATAAATCCATATTTTAGAAATGATAGTTTATTATCATTCGAAAGCACATTCTTTGCCCTTCACTTCTTGCAAATTATCTCTTTCAAATGTTGGCCCAGGCTACGACTCAGATGGACCATCCGCTGAGTCCAATTTTCGATGACTTGTTCGAGCATTTCAACTGATAACTTTTGCTTCAAGATCTGCATCGAAGCGTGATTTTCCGCATAGACTTTAGACTTTACACATCCCCACAGGAAAAAGTCTAACGGTGGGTTATCACATCTTTCTTGGTGGCCAATGGACCGCCCTAAAACGTGAAATTATCTACTCAGCAAAGTGTTCTCTCAATAAATCCATTGATTGATGCCATGTGTGGGAAGTGACGCCGTCTTGTCGAAACAAATGTCGTCGAGATCACGAGCTTAAAATTTAGTCGGTTATCATGCCACGATAACAGTTGCCATTGACGGTTACGTTCTTACCGGCATCATTTTTGAAGAAATATGGACCAATGATTCCACCGGCCACATCAAACCGTTCTATTTTCTGTATGAAATAGCAGCTATTGAATCACTTCAGGTTGTTCTTCGGCCCAAATGCATAAATTGAGCCAGAAAAGGGCGTCATCGCTGAACAAAATTTGGTTCGAAACGTCTAATCACTTTGGAACTTTTCAATAGCCCATAGAGCTAATCGATGTCGCTTGAGTAAGTTGAGTGGCTTCAGTTCTTGCACACGCTGAACGACGTAAAATGCACCAAGTCCTTCCATACGTCAGTCCGAATTGTGCGTGAGGCTTGAACTCATGACTTGCTATCATATTATATTACATTATGCCCTCAATATTCTGAGCCCTAGCACCCGGCTTTGTTTTTCTTAAATTTAAAGTAAGCAAGTTCGAACGCCGATTTAAGTTAGCGACATCATGTATAAAACTGCAAGAAAGAGGTTATAAAATCATCTGGAAGGGTGCTTTTGTGTAAAAAAAAAAACTAACCGTCGTGTCCGAAATCCAATAAATAGTTAACCTGAAAATATTTCATTACATATTAATATTTAATTTAGAAAGTTGTTCCGATCTGAAACACAACTTCAACATATATTTAATAAGACTGAAGATTTTAAAGATATAATTTGAAAATATTTTGGCCTTACAATACTATACTTACAACTATCTGCAGGGTAATCCTGTACACATTTCGTATGTTTGTCTGTACGTTTGCTCGAAATTCATTTCAACATTTACTGCTGCCGATTTGCCTCATCCCCTTGGGTTGAAATTGGGATCCGTTCCATCCATTCCATCCATTTGCTAGTTGTCTGTTCGTCTGTGTACTAAGGGTATATTTGTGTTCGCTTGGCTGCTTTTTGCTTTCAGGAATGGCGGATTTAACGTTGCAATGTTCGGAAACAGTTGATGGTGGTGGCGGTGATGGCGGTGATGGCGATGTTGATGATGGTGATGGTGACGATGGTTATGCGCCTGTGCATGAATGAATGTGTAGGTGGTTGCAGGTGGTTCGTTCGCCGGCGGGCTAGCAGTCGAGTGGGTTCGTTGGTTGGTTGCTTGTTTCTTGCTTGCCTTTGCGTAGATGAAAATGTGTTTGTAACTGAACGAATGGTGGGCGGAGTAACTCAATTAAGGATCCATTTGATGGCGCACACACACACATACACACTTGCGTATTTGTATTAAAACAAATATACAGTCAATGTAATACATATCTATGTACATCCAGCAAACACTCACATACATGCTTACATACTTATATACATTTGTATAGGAAAATACAATTTTCGTATTATTTTTTCACTTTCTTCTCTCTACGTTTTTCCACATATTTAATTCACTGGTTGCCGATGCTATCATTTGTCAACTGACTTTAAAGCGTTCTAACTGAAATATTTATGTAAAAACCAAAGATAAGGAATACCCATATAATTCACCGTAATTATTTCGGTACAAATTGAACGTTCAGTCGGCGGATGTTTTTAAAATTAAATGAACACAAATTTAATTTCACGGTTTGAACTAAATGTTTGGTTTCATTGACCTACAAAGCTGTCGATGTCGCATAAAACATTAGATAATTGAATAGAACTTCTAACTCAGGAGGAGATCTCTCGCTGTGCAATGCCGAGAGCTTTGAAACCCTAACTCAACATTTACGAATACAGTGGAAGGGGCTTAAATCCATAGAAAATATTGTTTTAATAACGGTCAAACGGCGAGCGTAATTCTTTATAAACATGAAGTGCTATCTATTCCAAATCGATCAGGTAATCGGAGGTGACTACTAGCACTCACCATTGCTTCGCATAACCTGAAAGAGCAGAAGATTTATTAAAAAATGGACGTTTTACTGTTTATTTTTGCAACAGACAAAGCCAGAACGTCTATTTCTGTTATATCGAAGTTGTAATTTCTGTCGATTGATCTCTCATCTAAAATCTTAACTGGCCTATTTTATAAGAGTGCCAACGAAATTAAAATGTATTGTCGTGTAAATTTAACCTTAAACCGCTCTGTTGTGCTTCTCATAGTCACGTATTAAAGTTCTGGCACGACTAGGTAGATTTACGAAAAACAAAATTGGATATCCAAGCCATTTTAACTCTACAAACTGTTTCAAAACTTGTAAATTAATATTTTTATTAAAGTTTTGAAAAATAAATTCGAACATTCGATTATAATATCTTGATAATTATATGAATCAGCATACATTTCATTGAAATGAGTATTTCATTGTAAATGAAATGTATATAAGATTTTTAATTCTAAACCAATAAGAGATTTTATAAAAAAATGTGTTCCTATTCCGAAGGTTTGGTTTCAAAATCGACGCGCAAAGTACCGAAAACAGGAAAAACAGCTGCAGAAAGCTTTAGCTCCATCTGTGATCCCCTCTTGCAATGGCATGATGAGGAATATTCAAGGATATGGTGTATCACGTGGTTACCAACCCTATCCACATCATAATTCGATAAATCGATATCCACAGGTATGATTTAAAACTCATCACTTTTAACAATTTTGCAGAAAAATACTTACCACTCTCTTTTCCAGGACTTATTTCAAATGGGCGCTTCCTCATATCCTGGTATGACACAACCTTTCACAATGACGCATGGCAGCAATATGGGTTCCGTGGGGGTGCGGCAAGATTCAATGGGTATGTCTAATTATGTTAAATAGTGCTATTTTATGTGTATGTGTGTGTAATGGCTCTTTGCTGAAGATAATTAAAGTTAGGAGTTTTATACAATTATGTATTTGCATAAATATTCACATGTTTATTTGTACATACATATGTACTTTCACACATATCGAATATACGAAGATTATAAGATGTTCTGCTTGAACGGATAAGTCAAGAAAACGTCTTATGTTCAAAGTAGCATGCATAAACATATATCGACACATTCAAAAATATGCAGGAAATTATGCATTTATTTTCTTCAATTCATCACATATGCAGAAAGTCTCATTCGCATTGGTCACATTTCCGTTTCTTAAATTGAAGTTCCTCCTTGGCAAGGCACATTGGTAATTCACCGAAAGCATCTTGAAAGTACATGCAAGACTACATATATTCTTGGTAGGACGACGAAAACCTTAGACAAAATCAATTATTTGGCGTTTCGGCTCCTAATATAAAGGGAAATGAGGCAATTGCTTACTTCATTAAATTTGATTATTCCGTTTGGCATATAAGTGATAGTCATTATGCTCACATTATTGCATTCCTACTTATAAACGAGTATGTATACGAGTACATACATATAAATGTGAAAATACATATACAAGCACATATGTACGAGGTGTGGTCAAAAAGTATTGCGAATTTTGAATTTTCGCGGGTTACGTATATTCGAATGCCGAATTTTTTGTGGCGTTATGTTGGTACTCATGTCTCTCACTTATGCCGAAAAGCTCGGCCATTTTGAATGTTCATTGTTGACAGCTGCTTTGCTTGCACGTGTTTTGGATCGTCTTCGATTCATTCCGAATGTTGACTGTGGCCTGCACCGAAGCAACGTTTATCGGTGGTGTAAAATGTTCTCAGAAGGCCGAGAAGATGTGACAAAAATTGGCTTTTGCACCACGATAACGCCCCTGCTCACACATCGTTGCTTGTGCGCGAATTTTTGGCCAAAAACAACACACTAATGATGCCGCAGCCGCCGTATTCCCTAGATCTGGACCCCTGTGCCTTTTTCTTGTTCCCTAAATGAAAGGACGACGTTACTCTTCTCTTGACGAAATAAAGACGGCATCGAAGGAGGAGCTGAAGAAGATAAAAAAAAATTATTTTTTGACGTGCTTCGAAGATTGGAAAACCCGTTGGCACAAGTGTATAATATGTCATGGGGATTACTTTGAAGGGGACAAAATAGATATTCATGAATAAGTAAATAATTTTTGAAAAAGCACAAAATTCGCGATACTTTTTGAACACACCTCGTATGTCTTATTAGATACTGTTCAAATATGAACGCGTTAAATCGAATAATTTGATAAAACTAAAGATATTAGTCTACAAATTGCACAGTCACAGTCTGTCAGCCCCAATCTGCGGGCGTGTGTCACCACGTGACAGAGTTAGTAGTTCGATCTTCTATTGACTTTCAATAGGAATTTCGTGTACTTCCGATGTACCGTTTTACACATGACTTGCAGTTTTGCAACCAGAAAGTCCATTTTATCGTATAGACAATGCATATTGGGAAACTCATGCGAACTTTCTGGTTGATTACGTTTTCAGAAGTTACCCTTACACCATTCTTGGTAATCTCGTCCACTATTTCATTGTCCTCGATGCCTTTGAGTCCTGGGACACAGTAGAAGTGAAGTTGCTTGCTTTTGGCCACACTTTCCACTGCTGCTCTGGTTCTCACGCCACTTCTGGCCGATATGCGATACGAGGTTACTGCCAGCTCTGATGCTTTTGCAATGTTAAAGACCTTAGCTTGAAATATAATGCAGTGGTTCGGAAAATTAAAAGGTCGTCTTATTCTATATTTACTTTGAACCTTCGTTCCCAGTTCAAAAGTGGGATCATGTAGTCGGTGTTTACCAAGCCGTCATTACCCACCGAGCTATGCCCAAAGGTTCTATAAGTAAATTCTCCTGCAGCCAGTAGTCGTCCCGCCGATTTTTCTGCGAAGTGGTCTATAGGTATCAGGATTAGTACCAGTTCAAGAGTCGCCGTTGGAATTGTTCTTAAAGCTCCCGTTATACACAGTGCAGCGTTCTGTAAACCCTTTCCATTGGCTTCGGGTAGGTAGATTTCCGCACGTCTGTCCACCGTACTACTGCACGGTAGAGCAGAACTCGTCTTACAATAGCTGTGTAGGACCAGTGCATGAGAAATCCCTCAGATTGTGCGGAGCATTTGCCAACATGCATATAAAGCATTCTAGCTTTTCTCACTCTTTCTTCCACGTTGTGCTTTCACAGCAGTTTGCTTTTCAAGACTATCCTACAGTACTTGGTCCTTGAAAGAGAGTTGTGTCGCATTTATCGAAGGGAACCTCCATAGAGGAGTTTTGTCCATTTCCGTTTTCTCCAAGTTCAACCCCAGACTTGCTTGCGATGCCAATTCTTGACTGTATTGAGAATGGTCTGTATACACCTACCCCTTATTAAGATTTTAGGTTTAACAGTGCTAAGGTTTGAAATTTTTTTTATGCTTTTGTGTGTTGTAAGAAACCGAAACCTGTATTCTTTCTCCCTTACCTAGGTGCCGTATATTGTTCCAAAAAAATATTAAGATAATCTAATATACGGATTCTTTGTTTAAATCCGTGGATACTTCAATTTACCGGATAATTGAATTATTCGGATGAAACTTCCAGCCCTAGTTCAAGTTAGTATTGTTACACAATAGAACAGTTCTGTAGGATTGGCAAGTGAATTTTTCGTTTAGAAACTGCTCCACAAAACATCAGAGTATATTAACTATAAAAGTAATAAATAATTATGATAAATTCGAAACGTAAGTCTCATAACTGCTTCATGCTTCGAGTAGGAAGTGATATTTTGTATCTTTGATTCATTGCTACACAAGAATCTTCATATTATGCAGTTTTATGATACGTGGATCACTGATTTTCTACTCCCGAATGTTGTTGTATAAAGCACTTCTGGAATTATGTACTTACATAGGCAGGTAGAAGTGAAGCCACCAGGGGCTCAAATAGAGCTGGATGCGCCATTTTGATATTTGGTGCTCTCAATGAAACTACTTATGTTCGTTATGCGTTTTGTGGACAACTATTCGAGTTTTGGTGTCTGATGGGTTCCAAGAACTTTGTGTCGGACTTTTAATAAAGCTGGACATTCGTATAGCAAGTGAAAAACTGTTTTCACATTCCCTTCTTGCCTGCAGCGGCGGCACCTAACTTTATAATAGGTCTTTTATTCTTATCCTATACGTATAGAAGTATGTTCTTTGCGTAGCATTAATTGGACATATTGATATTCGCTGTCATTAGTATTGAAGACGTTATTGACGTTAGATATCAGAGTTTACAATCCGAAACACTAGAATAGAAAAACTTTAACCTCATAAACGCATCAACATTTTACTAACTTGTACATAAATGCATTATTATTATATTTCAAGGTATGTCACCGGAGGATGAATGGTACAACAAAAGCTTATCAGCCTTACGCATGAATAGTTCGCACCATCCTAACTTATCCGCGCCAATGCTGCAATATCAAACATAATCGAAGACTTTTGACGACTTCTTTTAAAATACAAATATGGAGCTATAGGGAGAAAATCTAGATCCTGCTTCTCTGGGTTATTCAGTATTTGTATTTTAAAGGAACGCCGTCAAGGGATGAGTTACTAATGTATGTAGGTAGAATATGGACAGTGTCACCCATGTTAGGTGCAAATTTGTTAAACGTTTTTTAAAACAAATCGCAATATCACAAATAGCATGATCAAATGGAAAGTGAAAAAATAATTTGTAAGTCCTAAAACAAAATAAAGTGTATATTATGATTAATTGTGAATGTATATACCTAAGCATAAAGCTAAGGTGCGTATCGAAATCATAGAACCTTAAAAGGGATTTCTACATATATTCTAAATATGATAAATATTGTCCAAGTTTTTTTGGATTTAATCTGCACTCTTTAGTATAGTCTTTCGATCGATTTAAGATTAGGAGTCCAATGACTCTGGTGCTTGGTTATTTCATATATTTTTTATGTACGTGATGTATGTATGATTTTCTTTTTGTCAAAAACTCATTTCTTTACAATGGCTCTAATTTTTTTGTTTAAGATCTATTATATCCAAGATTTATTAATGAAAGGGAAATCCATTTTTTTGTAATAATTTAATTATTTAATTTAGATTACTACGAATGATTCGTTTTTGGTATTTTGAACAGGGTCACCGCGATCAGCGATGTTTTGCTTGATGTTGTCAGTTGTGATGCACTTCACACAACAGATTTCATTGGCACACATATATGGAGCCTCCTTTTTAGTCAGTCTCATTTAGACTGTTTAAAGCGATCTTTCGTGCAATGTCTAGCTCCGGGGCAATCTAAACAGTGCGTACGCGAAGTTTGTATTCGACAACTTTCATTATTTTATCGATATTTTATACAATTGGATCTCCACATCGTGGCCCATCTTTGATAACTAAGTTATTGGGATGGAATTTTGGCGCATTTCCAAGCATCTTCGTCTTTATCAACAATACTGAGCCAAGTGGTCACAAAATTGTCTGAAAATTTTACAATATCTTGCCTTTATAAAGCCTAAAGATGTAAAATGTATGTGTTTCTAAACTGTGTGAACTAAAAAAAATTAAGAGATTAACGATTTTTGTGGCGAATATGAAACGATACGCATCTTGACTATATGAAGGTATTATACATTTCCATACGTGTGTAACATAAACGCATGGGAGTTATTATGTTACATATGCGAATGAATTACTGTTCAAGTTAAATGGCAATTTTATAAATATCTAGAGAGAAAACTGAATAAAAACTTAATGAAATTTTATTGTAAATAATTGTAGCATTAAGAAGTTGAGCAAAGGGAAAGTGTTCTTGCACTCATGTTTGTATGTATGTACATGCATATATGTATATAGTACAAGTAAATACACAAATATAATGTAATTGCATGTTTGTAAGATATGGTAGCTACTGACAAAAGAGACTTTTATAATCGTGTACATTTTATTGTAAGGAAAAGTGCACGAAAGTGCCAAATAATAATTGCAAAAGTACACATTTGATAGATTCCTGTACATAACCGGAAAATACATACATACATATAACTAGAAACGATGTGAAATGTTATCGCTGACCGAACGATCAACACGAGTGCGCATAATTGCGATACTCACACATATATGCATTTCTGCAACATTATTTCTGATGCCAAATTCTTCATTTTAAAGATAGTCTACTCTTAAGAATACAGTTAATTGCAACAAAGCTAAATAAATCCAATGACAAATGTGTAATTTGACTAACACGAAACGGCTGATGCATCCCTATTGTAATGATTCTAATGCATATGTACTTGTAAGTTGTAGCTAAGCAATGAGTAATTAAGTACTAACTACTAACTAATTGATTACAATTGAATAATACTATTTTATGATTTAAGCCCAGAATATTCAAAAAATATAAAATGCAATTTTCCCACTCTATGTTGTAAAAAATCTAAAAAAATACTATTAAATATAAAACTGAATTTATTGAATCAATTATCTGTTGTTATTGGAACTAATCGCTCACAGCGATGGTAATAGTGGTTAATTGTTGTTTTATTCTGCACTCTTCAAAAAATGTGAGTATAATAGGTACATTCGCTTTACAGTCACATATGTACATACATATATGGCAATTATTAAATTGATATTAATCAGGTGAGGAGAACTGCGGGAGAGTTCCGCAGTTTTCCGATGAAGCTCTTGAAAGTTTCGATTTGAGTTAGCTGTTACCAAAATTTAACCTAAATTTGGAAGATAGAGGTATATATAATATAACTGTACTCACTGAATGCCGTGTTAGACGTTTTGGGAAAATCTTGCCAGGAAACAAAGAACTGCAAAAGCGCGCTTTCTGCCTTAGAAACCCTCAGCACTTGCGATAAGTATATACATATGTATATTCGATGATTCATACTTTTCTTCACGTACTTTGCACTTTGCCCGCCACAAATGCTAGACCCTTTTCTTCTTTACAGCTGGTTAACGAGCTAGTACATGACAGCGAGGCATCTAAGTGTACGTTTTAATTTGAATGTGACTCAAAGGCATACAACACAATATGAGGCAATGGTGGATTTCACACCAATTAGAATTTCTATCTCATCCTCACTAAAATATTGGATGTAACAGTAGAATTCTTAATAACAGTGAAAGTACAGCGCCAGATTAGGCCGAATCCGATTCCCCAATCGGTGATGGAGCAGACGTTCCATTGCCCGACCATGAAGAAGTTCGAATAGCAATTATCCGTCTGATCCGAAGAGCTGATAAGGAGCATGCATCAGCTTCTTTGTAAAATATGGTCGGACGAAAGCATGCCCAACGATTAGGTGTGCTTTGCCCAATCCACAAAGAGAGAAACCCCACAATCTACGCCAACTACAGTAGGATAAGCCTCCTCAACATTCGTTGATTTGAAAGCTGCTTTCGACAGAAGGAAAAGGAGCTCCCTTATGCCTCGAAGTCTGAATTTGGTATCCCCGAAAAACTAATACAGCTGTGTAAACCGACGTTGAGCAACACCAAAAGCTCCGTCAGGATCGGGAAGGACCTCTCCGAGCCGTTCGGTACCAAACGAGGTTTCAGACAAGGCGATTCCCTATCGTGCGACTTCTTCAACCTGGAAGAAAATAATTCGAGCTGCAGACCTGTGCAGCTGCTGGCGTATGATCATCGGCATCGGATTGATATCATTGGTCTCAACACCCGCTCGGTTAGTTCTGCTTTCTCCAGACTGGACAAGGAAGCAAAGCAAATGGGTCTGGCAGTGAACGAGGACAAGATGAAATATCTCCTGTCATCAAACAGTCGTCGAACTTGCGACTTGGCTCTCACGTCAGGGTTGACAGTCATAACTTTGAAGTTGTAGTTAAAAAGCGGAAACCATGTCAGCCTGGAAATCCAACGCAGGATGACTCTTGCCAACAGGTGCTACTGAGTAGGCAATTGAGAAGCAAAGTCCTCTCTCAACGAACAAAAACAAAAGTGTATAAGTCACTCATAATTTACATCCTGCTATATGGTGCAGCGGCTTGGACGATATGAACAACTGATGAGTCGACGTGGCGAGTTTTCGAGAGAAAGGTTCTGCTGAAGATTTATGGTTCTTTGCGCGTTGGATGAGACGTATGGATAGTTCAGCGAATTGAAATACAGCGGCTACGCCGGCTGGGTCATGTTGTCCGAATGGACGAAAACACTCCAGCTCTGAAAGTATTCCACGTAGCACAGAGGAAGAGCAAGACCTCTACTCCGTTGAAATGACCAAGTGGAGAAGGACCTGGCTTCGCTTGGCCACGTAGGGAAAAGAAGAAACGACTGGTGTGCTGTTGTTAACCCAGCTTCAATCGCGTAAGCGGTGTCTACGCCAGTAAAGAAGAAGTAGATACCAAATACACCTTCCGTTTACCAGGCCACTGCAATATAGCAATATATTTATATACATATATGGATAACCAAGCGACTTTGAAATCAGTGGTGTGTCCTAGGGCTTCGTCAAAGTTAGTGAAGAAATGCTTTGATCTCTTAGTGGATCTAACATCCTATTTCATGACACACCTGCAATGGGTTCTAGGGCAACTATTAAGCAGAACAGGCCATAAGAGGAACCACTCTACAATTATGCCTCTTCTTAATGTAATTCGTTGTCCTAAATAACAACCTTGTATTTTATTTTGTAGTTTAGTTATGGCGCTTTATATATTTTCGACTAATGGCATTTTTTGAGAATGGCAGTGAACCGATTCCGAACATGGAACATGTGTACCGCGTTTCATACGGATATCACATTTTTACCCAAGTTATCTCTTGAACAGATGCACGGACGGGCGAACAGATATTCATATTTCAACTCGTTTCGTCATGCATATATTTTATAACATTATAAATATACCCCTATATTTAGCTCGATTAGTTTTAGGTGATACAAACAAACGTTAGCCGAACAAAACTAGTAAACTCTGTAAACTTGTTGCAAGAGTATAAAAATTATTTAGGTACTATTTTTTATACAAAATGTCGCCCAGAGCGGCTGACTTCAAAAACATCAATTGCAATGCATCATGTTTTGCAACGGATTGATGCTTTGGGACGATTGCGTAGTCAGTTTGATTAGCTGTTTTAATAATTTAGAGATTTTAGCAAAAAATATATATGTATGTATGTAAGTGCTTTCATTGCTGATGAAACTGAATCAATTATTTATAATGATACTATTTGATTTCAATTTGATAAATTTGTACTCTTGCAAACTGTTGCTACAGAGTATCATAGAATTGTTCACCTAACGGTTGTACGTACCAACTCAAACGAATCGAGATAGGTTATGTACATACATATATATAAATGATCAGGATGACGAGAAAAGTTGAAATCTGGTTGACTGCCTGTCTGTTCGTCAGTCCAGGCGAGCTGTGACTTGAGTAAAAATTGAGATATTTTGATGAAGATTAGTAGGAGGTTTCTTTGGTACAAAAAAATACGAACTCGTAGATGGGCATAATCGCACCACTGCCACGCTCTCAAAACGCCATGTACTGAAAACTTATAAAGTGCCATGACAAGGAACTAAATTAAGATATAAAATTTTAATAAGGCAATGGGCACCACAGTGGCA